TGTCCTAAACGGCCACTAGTGGACAAAATCACTAAATGGCCACTAGTGGACAAAATCACTAAACGGCCACGAGTGGACAAAATCCCTAAACTGCCGCTAGTGGACAAAATTACTTAACGGCCACTAGGGGACAAAATCACGAAACGGCCACAAATGGACAAAATCACTAAACGGCCACTAGTGGACAAAATCCGTAAACTGCCACTAGTGGACAAAATCACTAAACGGCCACTAGTGGACAAAATCACGAAACGGCCACTAGTGGAGAAAATCACTAAACTGCTACTAGTGGACAATATCACTAAACGGCTACTAGTGGACAAAATTCCCAAACGGCCCCTAGTGGATAAAATCCCTAAACTGACACTAGTGGTCAAAATCTCTAAACTACCACTAGTGGACAATATCACTAAACGGCCACTTGTGGCCAAAATCCCCAAACGCCCACCAGTGGCTAAAATGGCAAAACGGCCCCTAGTGGCTAAAGTAGCTAGAGGGCCACTAGTGGCTAAAGTGGCAAAAGGGCCAGTAGTGACCAAAATGGCAAAACGGCCCCTAGTGGCCAAAATAGCCAAAGGGCCACTAGTGGCCGAAATGGCAAAACGGCCACTAGTGGCTAAAATGGCAAAACAGGCAGTGGTGGCAAAAATGGGGAAACGACCACCAGTGGCCAAAATGGCAAAAGGGCTATTAGTGGCCAAAATGGGAAAATGGGCAATAGTGGCTTAAATGGTAAAACAGCCAGTAGTGGCAAAAAGGGGAAAACGGCCACCAGTGGCGAAAATGGCAAAACGGCCACTTGTGATAAAAATGGGAAATTGGTCACCAGTGACCAAAATGGGAAAACGACCTCTCGTAGCAAAAATGGCATAACGGCCACTAGTGGCAAAAATGGCAGAACGTCCGCTAGTGGCCAAAATGGCAAAACGGCCACATGTGGCAAAAATGATTAAACGGCCACTTGTGGGCCGGGTGAAATGGCAAAACGGCAACTACTGGCTAAAATGGTAAGAGGGCCACTAGTGGCCAAAATGGCAAAACGGCCAGTAGTGGCGCCGGCAGAAATGACAAAACGGCTACTAGTGGCCTCAATGGGAAAACGGCCTCTAATGGGCAAAATGGGAAAATGGCCACTAGTGGCCAAAATGGGAAAACGGCCAGTAGTTGCGAAAACCGGAAAACGACCACTAGTGGGTGAAATGGCAAAACGGCCACTTGTGGCCAGACTGGGGAAACGTGCTGTAGCAGCCAAAAATCGAGGAGGGCCATTAGTCGCCAAAATTGTAAAGCGGCCACTTGTGACGAAAATCGGAAAACTGACACCAGTGGTGAAAATTAGAAAGGGACCATTAGTGGCAAAATTAGAAAATTAGAAAGGGACCATTAGTGGCCAAATCCTTGCTCGCCTCGCCAATTTAGCGCCTGTTCGAGTAATAGTCGTTGGCTGAAACGGTAAAATGCTTTCTTTTTGAATATAGAAAAGTTTGTTTTTCAAAGTTTCCATGATGTGCAGCTCAGACCTATTCATATAATTCTTCGAGGAAAAGTTCTACTTTCAAGTACGTGCCGGTGACGCGACCGTGAAATTATTGCGAGATGTTTTTTATCTTTTGTGGTGTCGCGGTAAAGAGCTGAAAAAATAATTTCTTCGGATCTATTTAGCATAATTTTCTGATTAAAAAACTGTAATATGATCTCTCTTGCACGAAGATATTCGTCCTTTAATTTTTCATTCGATTTCATGATGCACCGATCACACCTCTCGAGACATTTCTGGGAGACATGCGATAGGTTTATCATCTGTAGGACTTCGAAACAGACAATGAGTAACATCGTGATAGAGTGATCACGTGCTAATTCCGAGTAACATTCGAAGCGATTCGAAGAAATCGTCACTAAACGTCGAACAACCGCAGATCTGAAGCAGACAGAAGTAAAGTGCGTGGAATTATCGGGTGAAGCTCGGCAGACTCCGTTAGGGGCAAAGAGGTTGTTCGTATTCTATTGTTACAGTCACTGAATAGGACAACATTATGGGCTCGCCTCCACAGGTGGCAGTAGCCACAAAAACAAAGGAAAGACAATCATAAACCTTTATTTCGTTTCACTGTAACACACTTCACTCGCTGAAGGACTTGCTCGTTCCTTGCGAGTCAGCACTCGATATGAACAATTATACTTTGTCTCTCTTCGACATAGGGAAGCAACTGATGTTACTCGACAATTTTGATCGACAGCTTTAGTGAGAAGTTTTTTCTTGTTTAACCAATCAAAAAACAAGTACGTGTCCATAACTTTTTTAAGTGTGCTCGCCCATGTTTTGATAGGTTAAAAAGTCACAAACCAAACAGGAAAGCGACAAAAATTTATCCAGCAACAGTGCGCTTTATTGCTTGAAAGATCTAGTAAATGCCAATCAGCAAAACACTGTCACCATGTTCAATGGTCTTGGCGACCCATCCAAGAAGCTGATATCAAGACTGCAAGGAATCCGTGCTTATCTCTTGGCAAATCAAGTGTCAAAATCGTAAATTAATAAAGTGACAGTCTTCCTAATGATATCCATTTGGCTACAGTTCTCCGCGCTGCATGGCTTGTCCGTACGCACTCTCCTCCTTTTTCTCCGGTCTCACTTTAATCATATCGTCGATCCGAAGAATTGTAATGGCGGCTTCCGTTGCAAATTTTAGACACTTGATTTTACTGATGCAAGGTTCTAGAACGCCTGCCTTCATATTGTCACGCACTTTACCTTCGATTAGATCCAAACCAATCCTGAGTAGTATAAGAAAAATAACGAGATCTTATTGAATACCATGCAACCCTCCAAACTCCAAGTAATTCAATGTCAGATGGCCAGGGGATGCAGCTATTTAACAGAAACTATTGAGAAGTATTTTAACCAGGTACAATTGTTCCTTTATGAAGTGATGTTTTGTTGGACTAAGTGGTTCCAGCTTTTAAGTTTGTGAAAACCCTTGTGCGTGAGTCAGTCAAAAGAAAATGACTGAGCACTGCTTACACTAGGTAATTTTCACTATGCCTTAAAAGATGACTTTGCTTTCTAGCCTCTGTATAGAAACCCTGTCGTGCGGCCACCTAAACGAAATTTATTGAGCAGTACTTTCGTGTGCAGCTTTTTGTTTTGCTCTGCATCGCCACGGTCTGACCGGCTGTTTTCAAGGCCCTTGAAAACTAACTCCTCCCCGCCCCCCCCCCTCCACTTTGCAGTTGAATCTCCAGTGTTCACCAAAGGATTGAAGTTTGAGATAGTGGGCGTGGCATGGCAATCTCTATTATTATGCTGATGTAATGGGGAAATACCGTTGAACAGTTTTTGGGGACGGTCTCGGAAATTCCTCGAGAGATTTCCTTACAGGCCCACAAAAATTTAAATAAAAATCATCTACACATACCATTTGAGGGAGGCTCTCTCTGTGTTAATTTGTGAGGTGTTGTGATACGCGCGGAGTTTAGCCACGAGTTCGGCTGAATCTTGAGCCGCATTTACTGCCAGCGTCTTGGGAATAACAAGGAGTGAGTTGGCAAACTCAGCAATGGCCAGCTGCTCTCGAGAACCCTGATTATAAATCGGAAAATAACAGAGATTAGCCATGGAAGATCACAGCAAAGATTGAAGACAACCTGCAATCGGAGGGGAGGGGAGGGGACGGGGGAGGAGGGGAGGAGAGGGGAGAGTACGGTTTCTTACCAGTGACGTAGCAAAGTTCTCTAAATAGATCGACAAGGCCGCTTCCACTGCCCCACCCCCAGGGACAACAGTTTTGGACTCGAGCACTCTCTTTACTACACAGATGGCATCGTGCATGGAACGCTCCATTTCATCTAACATGAAGTCATTGGCCCCTCGGAGGATTATGGAAGACGCTGAACGAGCTTTGGGTCTGAAAAGAAAAATACAAAATAATATATAGATTTAGCCAAGCCTAAAAGCGGAGCTCTCTAAGTTCGTAATATTATTGATAACATAAAAGATGTGCATTTGATAAGACTCGCCCGAGTCACCCCTCCGTTCGTTTTGATAGTCTCCCCTACCCTACCCGTGCAATCTGAAGGCACGTAAGTACGTACGTACGTACGTACGCTCTGTCAGTCACGTGACAACTAAACGAAAAGAGGTTGACCATATTCCATGGGTATGGGGCTCTGCCCCACCTAAAATCATTGACATAAAAACAAATAAATAATAATAATAACAAGATTGTCACAAGTAGATTACCAGTAGAACTTACCAACAGAAAATGCCTTTAATTCATTCAGTCATGATCATGAACGAAAACAAATATAAAAGACGGTCTCGCTGGTCTGATAGCAGACCTTCATTAATAGCAAAGAGGGTAAGTTTCTAAAAAAACTGTGGTGCTGCGTCGGTAGAGGAGTATAACAAGGTTATTCTGGTTTTATTTATTGAGTTCATAAGCGATTCGGCGCGAACGTTTCTTGGTCCATTGGAAAAGTATGAGGCTTCGAACAACGAGAGTCGGCGAGAGGTCTGAGAGGGTTCTGGAACCGATTATTAGTGCCAGATCTCTGGCAAATCTCTCCTTGACACACCTCAAATCTTCCTGCGGGCGGGAAACACGCGTTCTGCTGAATTAATAATTAGAGCCTTTTCGCGAATGGGCTACCAAGACTGCAGCACTGTTGTTATCATTGATTTTGGCTGACTTTCTTCGCCGGCCACCTGTCTTTATGCTCTAAGTAAGATTTACAAACCTAACACTTAAAAACACAACAGGGCTTGTTCACTTACCGCTTGATAACAATCAACTCGTCGTCAGAAATTCGTTCTTGAACAACTTCGTCTGCTGAGCCGAGCATACTGGCGTCAAAGCTCTCTTCACCTTCGAGATTTGCCAAGGTCAGCACCATAGTTGCTAGGAGACAAATAGGCCAACCAAAAGGTTAGTGGCCTGTGCCAAGGGTTCAGAAAGGGCTGGGGTGGGATGGGGGTCCTAATCACGTTTCACGCGCGAATTCTAGAAAAATCCACGGTCATGAACACTCTAAAAAGCATTTCATGCGACGCGAATTCAAAGGGAAAGCTTCAAATCTCTTTCTTGTAAAAGAGGTTTCAGGAAATCTTGACGTTTTCACGAAATGGAACAAAAAAATTCACGGGTCATGTACATTTCAGGAGGCAAACTACGCCTCACACGGGTTCATAAATTTACGAATCACGCACGCCTTTCCGCAAAAATCCACGCGTCACTTATTAATGATGGTCCGAATCAAGCATCACGTTTAAATAAAAGAGCTTTGTGGCAGGTCGCGTGGAGAACGCGTGCGGGTCGCGTGGAGAGCGCGTTCGGGCCACGTGAAGAACGCGCTCGTTACGCTAGCCGCCACAAACCGTACTCTTTTTCCCCGATAGATGATGACAAAATATCCAGGGATCATACCGCGGAAAATGTTGTGTTAATGCGCAAAATAATGTTAATTCCTGCACAAACTAACCTCCAGTGGCTCTTGCGATTCTCTTGAGGTCAGCCTTTTTACACCGCCTGACACCAATGGCACCAGCTTCTACAAAGTACTTGAGGCAGAGATCATCAATGCCACCACTAACCAACACAACATTGGCTCCAGCACCAAGAACCTTCTGGATACGTTCTTTGGTAATGTCTGCCTCTCTACATAATGAATACATTTTTGTTATCAGTAACTCAATAATTTCCACTGTTTTTCTGCCACTTTTACCCTCACTTGGTAATCCTAACAAGATTTGGGGAGTGAAAGAAATAAAGGATAAAAGGTTTGAGATCCATTCTTGTAAGAATTAAAAAATTGATATTACGTCAAGGAATAATCCCCTAATTGATTTTTTCTTTATTCTCATTTGTACAAATTCTTTTATAACCACTCATGGGGGTTAAAATTTAAAAACATAAACAAGATAAGAAATAGGAGAATGTCTTTAATCTTCTCATGAGTGAAGAACAGCCTACCTTTTTCTTATAGCTTCCAGCTTTTCAGGATCCTCGACTACAACACTAACTCCCAGATGCATTTTGGCCTTCTGAAGGCTAAAATCCAGGCAAGCAATTTTGGCATTTTCCACTCGTTTAGGCATAGCTGAAAAAAAAAAAAAAAAAAGAATTTAATTCCATGCTAACTTCAGGATTTAAAAACAGCAATATCATTTTTCCAGCATTAAGTTCAAGGCCACACTTACAATAAAAGTGTGGTAAATATACTTGTTTTATGTGGGGGAAGTATTTCTAAAGACACCATTTAATGGATATTTGTTTGGCCAAATATGTGTTGTGTCCACTCAAAAAAAAGTTTGACCAGACAACTTGAGCAGTGCCAGCCAAGAAATTACTTGTATATATATATAGCCTTGTATTATATACCTTGAGATGCTATGGTGCAGTTCAGAGCATATCCATCCACAAGTACACTTTCCTTGGCACTCCCTCCATGGGCCTTCAACACATTAATAGCCTTAATAGGATACTTGGCTTCACCCTTATTTCCTGCTCGCTTTACGGCAGTGACAGCATTGACAATCATCTCGCCAAAGAAGTCTGATGACTGGCCAATCAACTTTGATGACAATGATGTCTTAGCGACATTCACAATACTCTCTCTACCAAGCTCATCGACATTAATCGTCAAATTTTCCTGAATGTATTTGCATGCTTCCCTGAAATTTAACCACAAGATGTCAATAACACAAGAAATGCTGTACTTAGCCCATTTGACACCTATGAGTGACTAGCATCTAGTTTCTCCTTACAATATCACCCTTGAATCACACATTAAAGCTACGAGAATAAAGGGAATGATCACCAACATTACATTTTGATTGTTAGACAAATTCTCCTTAAAAGAAAATGTGTGAAGAACAGTATGGAGAATATGCATACTGATGTTAGAGAGTGACAAGATAGCAATTCCTTTCAAATTTAAATCTTTTAGACAGTCCTTTTTTGAAAAGAAGCAGGAAGACTTGACACTAACTTTTCAACTTACTAGCCAAGTGGCTAGTGACATCTGAAATGTTACTACAATTTCAGTTTATTTACTAGCCAAACTAGCTTGTGGAAATCGAAAACCATTAGCCAATAACTGAATTTCTACTAGTCTGTGGCTAGTTGGCTACTGTTAGTGTTGAGCCCTGAAGATGAACAGAAGATTTTTTTTTTT